CAAACTGACCGACATCAGCCGATATAGGCGAGAGCTAGTGCGAAAAATGACTTGCCGACATCGTGAGTATAAACATGGGATTTATAGGGCTGAAGAAAAATAGATGCCATGTGCCTTTTGTGGAGTGAAAGGACATTATTACTCTGACTCATGTACTCGAATCCGTACAGGAAGATAAAGGATATCTCGATAGACGTGAAAGATGCAGAAATAGTTTGGGAAATCGAATGCGAAGGAGGCGATAATTGAGCGAGAGCAAAAATTCCGTGCTTTCACTGCAAAGAGCAAGGACATCATTCTGCCGCTTGCACTGTCAGAACTTCGCTCCAGAAAAAAGAAGCCGAGAAAAACAAATAACTTCGCTCCAGAAAAAAAAGAAGCCGAGAAAAATCACTGTGAACTGGCAATGAAGGACATAAAACACCGCCTCCGTAATTTTCAGACGTCGGGAGGCAAGAAGCCATAGAGCAACCAGCCACGCGAGATTGCGAGAAAAAAAAACAGTATTTTTTCTTGTGGGCCGGAGCATCGCAGACAGCCCGTGAGCTTGAAGACCAACTGGTTGATGCCAGTCAGAGAAAAACGATCTTCATTCTGATCGTGATCGTGCGCAAAAAGGTGCTGTAAAAGGGGCCGAGAGGAGAACCGCAACCCGCTTCCTTAAGTTCTCCCTGAGAACTTTTGCGATTCTATTTGCGAGTGCCCTCTTAGGCAAAGCCTTCACCCTCATTATACTTGCTCTTCAGCAGTTCTCTCCGTAGTTTTTTTTTGTCTGTGAAGTTCTCTTATCACGTGTTTCGAAATACTCAGTTATTACTAACAGTCACTGATTCATCCTTTGTTGTTATAACTCTCCTTATACTCCATCATTGGTCTCTGCCTTTGAAGATCTTATTCTGTCTGCCACTACGCTATTATGTTGTAGATTTCGTTATTTATAAACGTTCAATTACCCATGTTTGAGGCCTTTCGAAACGCCCACGTGGCATAAGTACACAACACACGGTGTTCTTCCTAGCTACCGTTTCAAGAAAGTTTTTTACATTGAAGGAATCTCAATTTCTCTGTAGCTTGCTCTGAAGGATATTTAGTGACATGATTACAAGTAAGACATTTTTCCAAGGCGGCGCTCCATACTGGAATTCGCTTAAGGAATTTCTCCACCGATTTCCGGGGGAGCTCACCTTCTCGAGGTTGCTGTCCGTCCTAAACACGAATAAGACAGATGTTTCAGCGCTGTTGCACTTGGAGCCAATTCAGAGGTGCCAATATAAGATGTCAAGCTTCGGGAAAACGAGGACCCGAATCACAAACCCGACATTCAGTCATTTCCAGTAAACGACACTATGCGCTTTATCATCTAACGCTTCGCTCGCAGGTTTCTCGCCGACAGTTCCTATAAATTCTCCTCAAACTCTTAAGCATGCGGTATGACAGTAAGCGAACACTTTCTGAGCAGATCTCACATCATTTCGATGGACAGTCCATTAGAGCCTTTTAGTGAGAGGATGTCGTCGTTCGTGCCACTTTATTTCACCTCACGCCGAAACATTACTTGGCCGTTTCCGAATACGATCGAGTAAATTACGGAGACAATATTACGTTGCGTTTCATAACCCAATCACGTTCGCCCTTGCTGTACTCTTCTCCAAGTAAAAGAAGAAGAGATCCATGTTTCATACGCTCTGAGTTATGAACTTCTCCTGAGCACTACCGGTCGGAGCCGGCAGTAAGTTTTGCTTTGCGATATATTATCTCCCTGTCTTCATACGCATCCCGGTATCACTTTAGTCAAATCTGCTACGCCCATTTTCGCCTGCTGTGCTTCCCATTCAAGCCAACCCACACGAGCTATTTTGCTATGTGACCACACTAAGACAGTTGGTAAGAGCTCTGCCATCCTTTGGAAATTTACTAAGTTTGGGTGAAGAGGAAATATCTTTGAATTGAATAGATTCCATAAGTGGGCCGGACGAGTCCACTTCAAAGTTCTATCCTGCTCCACCCCTATGCGGTGGCTGAACTACGCCATTACTTTCGATGACAAGTGGTGTTTCGCTACCACCTGAAGAAGCACCAGGGACTGGATCGAAGAGAAAAAACAGAACAGAACACAAGCAAACAGCATGTGGCGAAAAACTACAAAAATCAGCAAATTTCCGTCCACGTACGGAATGTTGTTGGCGAACCTGCCACTAGAAGCTCCTCCCTAGTTACAGCCCTGTAACAGGTCGTCTGATAGTCATCGATAAGGACTTGCGGGGAATCGCAAACTCATGCGGTCAAAACATAACCATAGGATACAAGTGGTGATATATTAACTTGGCCCATACTATTCAACGCTGACTTTCGCAATGCTTATCCTCATACAAAGGAGTGGTTCCTCAATCAGGCCACCCAGCGAATACAACAAATTGAAAGCGACACACTACTAACACTGAGTTTGGGCATTTGTTAAGCTGATGGCTCTCGGCTGAGGGGTAGCCATTAGGCGTTGTTGTCATTGTGAACTATCACTCTCTACTAGTGGGAAGGTGCTGTGAATGCAGTAGCCTAGTGAAATAACCCAGATAGTCAGGCGTGCTTCTCAGCCGTGGTCGAAGCGAGTTCTGAAGCGTCGGCCGACTTGGTGTCCGTATAGCGGAGAATTAGCAAAGAGCACTACCTTCCTAGCAATATTGTTCATCTGAGGACCAAAAAATATAATCAATTATAGCTGTCATTGACCTATTTTGGTCCTTATCATTATTTGATTAACACTCTGCACGCTTGCTCTTCTGAAACCGCATTATTATAATCCCT